CCCCAAAACCCCAAAACCCCAAAACCCCAAAACCCCTCAAGCCCACATAAAATTTGATGCTTTCTTTATAATCATAAAAATGGGAAACAAGTATTCTAACCTCAAATGGAAACTTAAAGGCAGGATATGTTACTATGAATACACTTTACAGCAAGAATGCAGCAGAGCTGACCTACATATTGCCAGGATGATTGATTACAAGTTAAGGAACACCACGAGCTCTTTGACTGCAAATGGAATATTTAGGGGAATATCTTCCTATGACTCTATATCTCTGTCAATCAATTATGATCTCTATCTCCCATATATAAGGCAGATGTCTCATTTAAGCTCTAGAATCACAGAAATTGAATGTCTTTCCTTGTCTCACCTGGAAGTCAAGCATCGTAAAAGAGCCAAGTAAGTTGTTAAAGGCATATACTAAAAGAAATACTGCCACAAAATGGCTTAAAGTGTCTAAAGCAGGCCTTTAAACCTAGTTTTGATAAATTTAACTTGTAAAATAGTGCCTGTATCAGTCAGATTAGAGTCAATAAGATCAAATAATGCATATATTGATGCTGGTTGCACTGCAAAAGTCGATTTTAAATGGTTCCAAAGAAGTCTTTGCAAATTGCTTAGCAGAACAACAGAGATAGTTAAATTATCGGGGTTCAAAGTAAGTCTAACCTAGCCACTCATGTGATGATCTGTACTCATCCTCGACCTTAAAATCTTGACTCTTCTTAACTTTAAAAATCACGTTTCTGCTAATCGATCTACTTAAAAGGTTAATTTTTAACATAACTAAACCCACAGATTTCACATAAAGATTTCTGAAGAATCCTGATCTCTTGTGCGAACACCCAATGGATTAACTTCAGTGGCTGAATAATTGAGATCAATAGCTTAGAGGACCTCAGTAGGTGTCTTAAGTCATGCTTATAGAGACCGCAACTCTAGCGATCCAAGAACTTATCTTTTTTGAGACTCGGATTATCCAACCTATCCAAGATACCGAATTCCACCAAATCTTGGCGCATAAATTGACCAAGTCACAGCTGAGTAACGCTTTGAGGAGAGTTAGCCATACTAGAAGGAAGAGAAGACATGCAGGGGGGTTTTATCCACCAAAGAAAACTTATTCAATGGGGAGTATTAATTTTGTGATTTATAACTAAAATAAGAACAAATTGAGTATATATCCCATTCCTTGAAGCAAGGAAAGCACAGTTCCTTCCATCGGAGTAATCGTGCCTCTTTGGGAGTTTAAATATTGGCAAGGCCGCACTTTAGTTCGTCGAGTTAAGGTATTGAAGCCTTTTAGTTATTGGGTACTTATCTGTCATTTCTCTTACTGGTGTATTTCTGGTGGTTGGACTTGAGCGTCATTTTCAATCGTTTTTTCCTATCCCGGGGTTTTGGGGTTTTGGGGTTTTGGGGTTTTGGGG